CTGGACAAACTTTACCTACCCTTACACAAAAGTATCTTTTGATTAGATAATTTTCAAACCATGGTAATAGTTTTCCTCGAATGCCAAGGTGCTCAAGTTTAAAGAGAGGCGATTTATGGGGACTTTATCGAAAGCTCTGGCATGTATTGTAGTGTGGTATATTTTAGTTTTCTTAATGGTAAATTTAAGAACAAGATTAATGTATTATGCAATTTCTGCTTACGATTTGCATGCAATATGTAGGTTTGATCATGTTACTTTAATCAGGCACTACAAAACCGAATGCTTTGAAATCTTGAAGATGTTTTACAGTTATCATAGGCATGGTAAATTTTTAGTCAAAATATATTTCCTCATCTGCCCTAAAAAATTGATAACGTCACCTCAAAACTATGCTGTATAAATCCAAACTAAAATGTATAAAATATAATGAGTCTGCACTTGTGATTTACCATTCCATTCATATTTTTTGGATTTGCATATACAGGATGACTCAAAAAATTACTGAATGGGTGAATTTATTTTATTGATTAAATCAGGAATAGTTCAATCCATTTTCCCGAAAATTTGGAGATACAACACTGTTATTATTAGTATTTCGTTGCACCAACCCAATTTGGTAGACACAAAATTTTGTAAAGTAAAAACTCGTTTTAAACATAGGCGTAGCACGCTTATTTACATTTATTTTAAGGCTGGCGTCTGGTTCGGTTTAGCCCTATACTAAATACATTGAAAACATTGTCGCGGTTTCCGGAGTTGCATTTTAAAAATATGAGATATATCGCTTTAAAAAAATTATATTTCGAATTAACAAACTTCAGTCCAGGGGACCTCCATATTTATATTCATATCTAGTATGCAGTTTTTACAAAAAAAAATTATAAAGTTGAACAACTTTTACATCACATTTTAACCGGCACATTGATGCATTTTTTGACGAAGTGCTGAAGTTTTGTGCATTCTGAGATAGGAGGTCCCCTGGGGAAAAGTGTCAGCTTGCTTTTGATACCATTTATAATATTAAAAAATCCACGACTGAGGTAAATAACTCGCGAAAAGTCAAAATCTATTGAAACGAGAAATCGGCATTAAACGAGCTGTGATGCGGTAGCAGAATGCAGGTTTACTTAGATTCTGACTTGGTTGGAGATTTCAGTATTTTAAAAATGCAATTCCGGAAACTACGACGATGTTTTCAATGTATTTAGTATTGGGCGAAACCGAACCAGACGCCACCCTTAACCTTACAGATGTGCATTTGTTTCGTTGCGCTGACTAGGTCCGTGAATGTGGTATAGACAAGTTATAATCAACCAATTGTGAATTACACCATCAAAAATCAAGCTAAAATCCGATATTTTATATAATAAGCGGAAGTCGAAGCAATAAAAATGTCTGGGCGACCATGGGTATTGTTTGCAGTTTCTCTGTTTGACTCTCAGGTGTACAATCTCAATAAATGTTACCGATTGTTGTCTTAAATTAAGAATGCTTATACATAAATAATCTTGAGCCTCATCTGTTAATACACGCGGTATACGTGAGTAAACTGTTTCGTTATTTTATTGATTATAAATCAATATTCAAGACGACCCAACTCATTTTCCCGAAAATTTGGCAATACAGCAGTTTTATTTTTAGTATTACACTACGTCTATCCAAACTGATATACATGTCCTTGCAAAAATGTTGATGACGTCATCGCAGTTTTTTTTAAATTGCCCCGCTACAAAAATGTAATGAGAAAAAAACATAATAGGCATGCAGTCGTCATGTTTTCGACAGCGAGGGAAGTACTGTCTAAACTCTTTAGACCAATTTTTTATTTGTACAACACCACACCGTTTCTCCAGATTTTTTCAATTCGCTATGTTTTCTAAATTTATAATTTTCGTAAATAATACTGCCCGCTCACTTAACATTGTTTTGAACTCCATCGTAGCTGTCAGAAGATTGAGAATAAATTAAATTTTCCCCATTTACAAAATGTACTTGCAATTAAAGCTGAGGTGTAATTTGCGTTATTGATTTTTCTTGGAAAAATTTCAATTTAAATATTTCTTAAGCTCAGTGGACTTTAAATTTCCAGCTAAATGTTTCTATCCTTCTCATATTTATTGCTTTATCTCGGCGGCGTCACCACCTTTTTAAGCGGTGCCTGGCGCACTAGTCCTTACTTGCTTAGGGATTAACTGACCCTTATATTTCCCAAGATTACACAGATACTGCTAGCACAGTTGTGTCCTGCCTCCTAACCCGAATTGAAATGCACCGCAATTCGGTTCTTGACTACCTGACACTTGGGCAAAAATTTTACCGCAATTCGGTCAAAATTATCCATATACCTGAGTATCCGAGATTTGCAATTCATATATACCAGAGTGCTAGAGTCAGCCAGACAAGACGTGTACGTCATAAGTTTTGAAATGATGACGTATTATACTGCCAACATGAAAACGAAAATTTGTTAACAGCTCACGCTAGATCACGCTCAGTCCGCACAATCTATAGAGCCATTATGTTGGTCAGCGTGCACTTTAACTTGCTTTGACAGATGCATTTGTTTATACGGAGTTTTGTCGATTCAGGCGTGTTTCCGTATTTTTCTTCTTTCATTACTGAGTGCTTATTTGCGAAAACACAGTCGTTTTCAGGATTAAATTGTCGTTCATATTGCGGTGAGTTGCTTTTTTTCAATAAAATATATCACTTAACTGAAATTTGTAAATTTGACTTCGCATCCATATAATCGTGCTCAGGAAACTGACGTCATAGACGAACGATGACGTACACGTCTTGTGTCACTGATTCTAGTATACTATCCTCAAACATATTTGGCGTTTATGACTTCACACCAATTTGACTCCCATTATAATTCAATAGGCCGTCACAACCGGATGTCTTAAACCCGCTCACCGATACCTACCTGAAAAGACCTTTTCTGGTAAAAGCACAGGGCAGGACTGAGTTTTGCATTTACCGACAACTGCGCCTTTCGAGTTTTTTATTTTAAGTAGAAACAAAGTAACTTTGTACTCAATCATTTTTTATTACAGCACAACTATTTACTTATTAACTACTACTGCTTATTTATTGATCGAAATAGTCACTGTCATCATCACTCGACTCTTCTAAATTAATAATTAACGGTGTTATCATCCGTGCCCTGTACTGGTCTTCTTCTTTTGTGGAATGTCGTACACAATTGGGCCACATTTCGGCGACGGATTTTTTTTTTTATTTTTCAGAGTTTGCAGTTTTTTTATTTAAAAAAAAATGGTCGAATATTGTTTCGACAGAACTTCCCTCGCTCCTAAAATACAGTGAAACATATCCAACATTCTCGAGTGTTTATTTATCTTAATACATCGAAAGAATGTCGCCTAGAAATAAGTTTGATCTGAATAAATCAGAGTCGCACAAAATGTTCTGAATATTTTAATTCTTATTTTATTATTATTATTATAAAGACGAGTTTTTCGCATTTTCGAGGAAATGGGGTGACTCGTTCGTGATTTGACCAATAAGAACTTGGTAATGAAGTCATCAACATGGATAATACTATTCACAGTACAAAAGAAAAGTAATCGCAGCGTATTACCAATGCAAGAAAAAAAAATGGTCTAAAGAGTTTAGACAGTACTTCCCTCGCTGTCTGAAACGTGACGACGTCATGCCTATTATGTTTTTTTACGTATTACATTTTTGTAGCGGGGTATTTTAAAATAAATTCGAGTATTAATTTTTTCAATTTTGTCATTATTTGCCATTGACATATTTGTCATTTTTTTGTGATTGTTATGATTGCTTATTAAAAAAAAATAAATTGGACCAAGTCGTCTCTGGAGTGTATAATATGTTGCCTATGCAAAAATTGTCAGGTGTGAATAGATAAAAGGAACACCCTGTATGGTACTTGTAATTGAAGACAAATATGTCTGCAAGATGCTAAATTTTTAATCAAAATATATTTACTTATCACCTCCAAAAATTGATGACGTCAGCTCAAAAATTTGCCAAATAAATCCTATCTAAAATATACAAAATATGATGAGTTTGTACTTGTGATTTATCATTCCATGCATATTTTTTGGATTTGCAGATACAGGGTGACTCAAATAAATTAATGAAAGCGTGAATTTATTTTATTGATTTAATCAGGAACTACAAAACCGAATGCTTTTAAATCTTGGAGATGTTTTAAAGATATCATAGGCATGGTATATTTTTAGTCAAAATGTATTTGCTCATCCCCTCATAAAAAATTGATGACGTCACCACAAAATTTTGTTGAATAAATTCTATCTTAAATATGCAAGATATGATGAGTCTCTTTTTGTGATGTATCATTCCATTCATATTTTTTGGATTTGCAATAATTTGCATATACAGGGTGACTCAAAAAAAATTAATAAATGCGTGAATTTATTTTACTGATTTAATCAGAAACTGCAAAACCGAATGCTTTGAAATCTTGCAGACGTTTTAAATTTATAAGCATAGTAAAATTTTGATCAAAATGTATTTGCTGATCTCCCCTAAAAATTTGCGGAATGGGACAATTTGGCGCGGCCGACTTGGCGCGGCCAACTTGGCGCGGCCGACTTGGCGCGAGCCATTTTGGCGCAAAGCCAACTTGGCGCAGGGACATTTTGGCGCAAGCCATCTTGGCGCGAGTACGTCGGTATATATTATAAAATATATTTATTGTTCGTACTTTGGTTGGCACCCTGTTATTTATGCTAAGTATAGGTAACCAAATACACATTTTCATTCGCACAAATTCCAATAACTAAATGATCCACCGAGCAAGAAGTTCCACGTTTAGGAGTATGTTTATAATGGGGTGCAGGGCGCGAAGCGCCCGTGTGTCCATTAAAAAGTCGACATTACCCCTCCCCGCGTTGGAGACTATAAAAATTGGGTTATGCTAACAACGGGTAAAATTTTTGCATATTTATATCTATTTTTCTTGGTGCAAGTTCATTTGCGCCAAGATGGCCCGCGCCAAGATGGCTTGCGCCAAAGTGTCCCTGCGCCAAAGTGTCGCTGCGTCAAAATGTCTCGCGCCAAGTCGGCCGCGCCAAGTCGGCCGCGCCAAGTCGGCCGCGCCAAGTCAGCCGCGCCGAATTGTCCTAGACCGAAAAATTTGATGACGCCGCCGCAAAATTTTGCTGAAAAAATGTTATCTTAAATGTGTAAAGAATGATGAGTCTATACTTATGATTTACATTGCATTAATATTTTTTAGATTTGCTTTTGGGTGTCTGAAAAAAATCAAAGACTGAGTCAATTAATTTTATTGATTAAATCAAGTATTGCAAAACTGAATACTTTGAAATCTTGCAGACGTATTTGTCTAAAATTATAAGTACTATACAGGGTGTTCCGTTTATCTGTTTACGCCTGACAATTTTTACATAAGCAACATATGTTTAAGAACAAATTGGATCAGTAACTCTACTTAGGGAAATCTATTTGATGGAGCATAATAGGTCTCTGACCTCTACTCCATTTTTTCTAATAATAATAATAATAATAATATTGTACACCCCAGTGACGACTTTGTCCAATTTATTTTTTTTTAATAAGCAATCATAGCATTCACAAAAAAATGACAAAGATGTCAATGTCAACTAATGACAAAATTGAAAAAATTAATACTCATTTTATTTTAAAATACCCCGCTACAAAAATGTAATACGAAAAAAACATAATAGGCGTCACGTTTCCGACAGCGAGTCGGAAAAAATACTGTCTAAACTCTTTAGACCAATTTTGTAAGACATATATGAATGCATATGTTTCGTCTTTAGTATGTATCTGGCCGCCTCTGGTCTAATAAATGTTCTAAAAAAATATAGTAAGTTTTGAGAAAACGCATCTAACAAAAACGAGGTCACGAAAGCGCAAAAAATTCCAATGTACACTTATTTTACTTTATACTGTGTCAAATTTGACGTTTTACTGGATTCGAACGACTCCGGTAAAATAAAAAAAAAAAAAGGACAAGTCCGGTAAACTTGAGCCAAAAAGGACAAGGTCTGTAAAGTGTTACTATGTGTTTAAATATTTGATGCTGATTTACGCGAATAAACAAATTAAAACATTTACCAAAGAGCGGTTGCCAACGGTGTCAGAAAAAATGACTCGATTTGAACTTTTTCTCAAAATAGTAATTATTTTATCGAATAAAAAAATATGTTGACAGTATGAAATAAAATCCATAACGACATACGTCCGGTAACTCTTTTCGCAGTACTCGTTTCGAAATTAAAGACTCGGTTCCCTACGGTCGTCTCACTCGTACTGTAAAATTTGAGTTAGTATTTACAATAACGTTATTTACTATTTACGTTTTCATTATCACTAACAAGTATTTAAAATAACAAGTAATAGTTTGTTTGTATTATTTATTTATTATAATAATCCCATTTATTTATCAGAAACTTTTAAACGAAATAAAATTTAATTGACTAGAGATAACGGCAAAGTTGTGTTAGGCTCATCTGGCAACGTTGTAAATCATCTAAATGCTTACTACACATTTTTTTCGTCGCCCTCTATCGAGTGGTAGATTTACCCACTGTATTGTTGCGGTTCTGTGGGTTGCCTACGCGCGCAAATCTTGGTGCACCATCTCTTGTTCGCCGGCCTTTGGCCTGTTCGCCCCAAAAAGTAGCATGGATCTATCTGTAGGCAGGTATTTAATCAATGCGTCCATATGGAGAGTGTCTTGACTGCACGTAAAATCAACGAAACCTCCTTTTGCACTTCTACTTCTTTGTGTATTAATTTCATATGCGCTGACAAATATCTTCCTCAGCTTTTCGCTTTATGGAATTGTTTATTTGCAGTCGAAATAGGACACGTTCATCAAGTTCATGATTGTGGGCATCGCTTTTTCTTGAAAACACCAAATTAAATGTATATACTTTTGCGAAACATTTTTTATTTGTACAACACCACACCGTTTCTCCAGATTTTTTCAATTCACGATATTTTCTAGTTTCTGAATTTATAATTTTCGTAGATAATCAACGTACTGCCCGCTCACTTAACATTGTTTTGAACTCCATCTTAGCTCTCAGAAGATTGAGAATAAATTAAATTTTCTGCATTTACAAAATGGAGAATAATAGTCAGCGTGCATACGTAAATTCACTGCTTAAAAAAAACAACGGAAAAAATATTACAGAAATACCATTTAACTTTTTTTTATTTTTCAGATTTTTCAGTTTTTTTATTTCACAAAAATGTCAAAAAGTTGGCTTTTTTAGCCTCACTATTTAATGTTGGTAAATTATCGCAATTTTTCTTAAAAAAAAATGGTCAAAGTTTATTTCGACAGAACTTCCCTCGCCCCTGAAGTGCAATAAAACAAATCCAGCTTTTTTGAAAATTTATAAAATTGGGTTTGCGCTTTTTAGTTTTATATGAGATCCTCTGTTAGTGGATAGAAATATATTTTTGCAAGGACACATACCAATTTGGACAGGTACTGTGTAATACCAGGATTGCATTTTGAAATTTTCTAGAAAATGGAGTGAGCCGTTCCTGATTTAATCAACAAAATAAATTGACTCATTCATTAATTTTTTGTCCACTTGTTTAAACAAATCAAAAAAATATGAATGCAATGGTAAATCACAAGTATAGACTCATCATATTTTCCAATTATTTCATGTCAATTCAATCATTCGTCTTTATTTATAAGCTAAATTCCGCTAACATAAAAAAGTTATTCGAAATGTTCCCTTTTAGCTAACTCACCCTGTATATTATATAGGAAATTTTATATTCACTTACGGTATAATAAATATTGTACGTTTAGTTTAATGTCACGGTCTTTACAACAACGTTCTTAAAGTTATTCGAATTTGAACAATATTTTTTCGTGTTTTATTGCTTCAAGAACAATAAAACTAGTACAGCAATATGAAATCTAAAATTTGTTGTTGCTTTCAACTTATTCCACGTATTTATTTTTCTTTATAAAATATAAGAGCTTTCAGAAGCACACAATTCCTTCTTTCAGGATGTCCATAATTATACGGTTAACATTACTTAATTCGTAAACAACGTTGCCATTGTTCTTCTTCAGGGTGGCATGCATTACTCTGATTCGAAACCACAGGGAGATGAATTTACGGTCTCCATCAGATCTAAATGATTTCGGTGTTTCTTAAAAGAACGGAGAAGTGTGTTTTATGTCACATGTCAATCACGTGTCGGAGACAAATGTCTGCTTTTAAGAATTCTCTTAACATTTACGTTAATCTTAGAAAAAATCACTTAGAGGCTAACAATAGTCTACGAGCACATGTACCGAGCAAAAAGCAGCTGTTTACAAATCTGCACTAATTAAACGTTATAATAGTTATTCGGAATAATAGAAACCAACCCTTCTCGGCCGTAATTGCGACAACTACGTCGATTTTGAAAAGCTGATCGCGTGCCCCACGTTTGATTGCCGTTCCATACAAACCACTAATTACGAGAGGAAATTGATATGCGGAAAGAGCACGTGGCCTGGACAGGATATGAATCAAATTGAAATTAATTTGTAGGTAGAAAGTAGTTGGGTAAAGTCTAAAGGTTATAAGGGCATGGGGATGATGAAACACTAATAATTGTGAAGATCAAAACAAACGACTTACATTTAGTACATCGAGGAAGCATCCGAAGACACAGCTAAGATATTCCATGCAAAGCTAAAACCACCACTTTGTACAAACTTTCTGGTACTTCTCAAAAACGTCGCCGTTTAGACTTAGCAGGTACAGAAGTCTAGACGTCTACAGTAAGTACCCATTATTCAGTACGGAGAAATGCTAATCGAGGTATTAAGTTTTATAACTAAAAGTTGCCAGGGACTGGGTTTTTAAATTAAATTTATTCTTACGACTAATGAAACAGGTTGCCGATACTGAAAATTGTTTTGCTAACGACAAATGAGTAAACTGCATGCATCGATGGAATGGAATTTTTTGAATTTCCAGCGCTGATAAAATATTCAAATATTGTGAGACTCCACAACTTGTAGAGCCATTATGAATGTTTACGGAAATCACTGCGTTAGATCAGGTTCAAAAGAGAGATTTTTTGTTTCAGGAACGTTATACAGAATGGTAGTTATTTTACACTTTGTTCTGGGACTGTTAACTACGTATATTCTAAACGCAAACTGTTTAAATATTCCATGCATAAATCTAATATTCAGTGCCACTTTCAATTTCGAAATATTTGTTTTGGTAATTATATCAAATAATACTTGATTCTCAGTATTCTATGGAAACAATGTATTCGTTATTGTGCTGTAATGTAATAGATATCTAAAACTAATATTGACCTGATTTTTAAATTGTTTATAAACAGTGCGGTATTTTTTCTTGATAATGGTTTTGAAACTTGTATTAATTACAGAATGGGACATAAACTAGTTTCGGAAAAATGTCTCTGACACTTCGTTGTATGAATGTTATTCTACTTAAAGATACTTTTACCTGTAATAATAATAATGGTTGTTTATGCTCAAACATATTTGTAAATACATTCAGGGTCGTTCAAACAACATCTTGAAAACTACATCTTAGTAATTAATATATAGAAATACAAAAAAATTCTTAAGACGAAAGTTGTACTACTATAGTTATACAAAGTGTTGTGTTACGTTGGCACATTATTTCAATTTTCTTGAATTTTGTTAATGAAAGGATTCACAAAAAATCGAAATGTGGTGATTTTTAGAATGTGTTTCTATTTCTGCATCTTAATCTGTTTTTGGTTTTATGATTATTATTTGTAAGTATTTTATATATTTAACGTTGATAGTTCTTGCAATTTTTACTTTTTTTTTTTGTTAAGGGACGCACTGAGACATCAGTATATTTTTATTTGAAAAACTGAAATATGGGTATTTATACTAAACTCACTTGACATACACCTGGTAAAACTTTTGACTTAAACGGCTTGAGCCAAACCATCCTTATAAGTCAAACTGGCTATGGCAAGCTTATGGACCCGGACCGCAAGAATTATTACTGTCCATTGTTGCCACAGTGGAGCTGTAAAGCTTTAGGTATATGTCAACTGAATTAAGTTATACAATAGCCAGTTTGACTTATAATGGTGGTTTAAGTAATAAAAGTTTTACTAGGTGTATGTCAAGTGAGTTTAGTATAAAAATTGTAACGTTTGAGAATTTTTAATAAACATTTTATAGTTATTAAAATTTGATTTAATTAATACCACAACAAGGTGCGTGAGGGAGAACGAGACAGAAACAGCGTGCACGAGAGAAAGAAAGACCGCGCACGCGTGAGGGCCAGAGAGAGAGAGAGAGAGTGTGTTAATTTTCAAAATGTTGTCATACAGTTTTGACATTTTTTCCAAGCATATAACCGGGAAATTTTCTGGTGGGCCCCGAAACAGTTTACAGTCTTTTTTTTATACAATTATTTACATTTTTCACATATACAGGATGTCAGGATGTTACAATTACAAATGCAATAAATATTTCTAAAAATATAACAGATGCCTAAAAAACTATATGCAAATATTAACTAAGAACATTTTTTACTTTGAGAGTGTAAACTAAGTACGAAACAATAGGTCTCTCGTTTTCGTCTTTCTGTCTGCCGTCTAGACAGATAATCTTCGAAACTATTTAACCCTAACGCCTTCTTTTGTCAAATTAAGTCGATTCTGCATACCGCAAGTACTTGTACGTCGTGTCGGTCACAGTCGTCAAAAACATCTCGAAATATGTACCTATATTTCAGAACTCATAAAATTCGATCAAAATATAATTTTTACCTAAAATTTGATGGTTTCCTTGGTATTTTCGGCTCCGTAGGGTGTCTGATAAGCTTGAAACTACAAAAAAACACTTGTAAAGTAACGTTTCTAAAGTTTTTTAACGAATTTCTTGAATCTACAACCGCCAGAATATGAAAAATTAACCCAAATATCTTCTTTTGGCAAATTAAGTCGATTCTGCATATTGAAAGTACGTCGTGTCGATCAGAATCGTCAAAATCATGTCGAAATATATTTCAGAACTCATAAAATTCGATTTCTAGCTAAAATTTGATGCTTTCCTTGGTATTTTCGGGGCCATAGGGTGTCTGATCAGTTTGAAACCAAAGAAAACGCTCGAAAAGTAAAGTTTCTGAAGTTTTTTAACGAATTTCTTGAGTCTACAAACGCCAGAATGTAAAAAATTAACTCAAACACTTTCTTTTGACAAATACGAATAACTTGTAAATGGTAAAACGGTAGATAATCAAAATTTGGCTAATCATCCCTACCAACAATTTGTTGACGTCACCTCAAAATTTACGCTAGTAAATATTATTTAAATTTTATAAAATAAGGTGCACATGTGCCTTATGAACCCCTGTTGAGTTGTTATCCTAATAGACATTACAATTTTTCCTGTTAGTTATCTGCTTTAAATATATTTTATATTTAAAGACGCAGGGCTTGTAGGGATGTAAATTACGCCACTTTATAGAGAACAGTGTCACAAAACGAAAATCACAAAATCTAATTTTATAATTTTTTAAAAAAGCGGAATTTGGCGGACTATACTTCAAGGGCGAGGGAAAATCTGTCAAAGTAATCTTCCACAATTTTTTACTAGCTTTGTTTTTCTTGGTAGCGTCATCAAAATTCCAAAAACAACATAATTTTTTCAAAACGCCAATGTCGCCAGCAAAACTGAAAATAATAATAGTAATAATAATATCCAAACAACAGCTGTATACAATTTCCCAGTGGACCCCCATGTCCTCAATTCGACACTGAGATTCTAAAAAATGTGAAGGAAATAATAAATCTCAATCATATCTCGCACATTTCAGATAGGATTTATTCGGCAAAATTCTGATATGAGGTCATCAGTTTTTTGGGGGAGAAACAAAAATATGTTGATCAAAAATTTACCATGCTTAGAATAAAGTGTAAAATGTTGTAGTAAAATTTTGATTTTTTTCCCAAAAATCTAGATGTCTCAGGTAAAAACTCAAAGGTTATTTTATAAGAAAAACCCATTGACTACGTACAATTTTAAGGCGACGTCATCACATTGTTGGTGGGGATGATTAGACAAAATTTATTTAGCGCTTTACCATCTACATGAAATTCATAACACATATAAAATTTGACAATAATCGGTCCGGTAGTTTCGGAGATTCTCTGTCAAACAAAAATCTACACATGCGGCGGACAGACAAACTCACAGACAGAACAACAGGCAGACAGATGGAAACGAGAAACCTATTTTTCGTACGTTGGGGGCGATGACACATCGAGAAAACATGAAACTAGCTAGTCGCCCGTGGATCGAAGAAAGAGCGTCAACAAAACAACAAAAGTCATTAAAAAAGCCACAAAAAGTGACAAAAAAGTTATTAAAAACATGATAAAAGAGAGGACATAATAGTGGAAAAACTAAGCGGTTAAAGAAAAAAAAGGGGACAACAAAAGCGATAAAAAAGGCAACAAATAAACGCCAACTAAAGAAAATGATACACAAATGCAACAAATAAATACTAAGGAAAAGGAGAAAAAGAAGGCGACAAAAAGATTATGAAAAGAAGGGAAAAAATGCAAAAAAAAAGTCACTAAAAGGGACAAAAAATACTATAACAAAAATGACAGAAAAAGCAACGAAGAACGACAACAATAAAAAAAAGGGGGAAAAAAGACTAAAGAAATACAGCAAAAAAAATCAAAAAGGGGGACAGAAAGGACGACAGATACAGGAGTACGTTATTTTATAAAATTCAAACAGCATTTATCATGCAAAATTTTGATGTGGAGATAGTCAGACAAATTTTGGTTAGCGTTTTACCATTTAGACGGTAGTAATTGATAATAAACGGTATTTTCGTAGATAATAAGATAATAAAAATCAACATAGATGACAGACAGAGGGAAACGGGAAACCTATTTTGTCATACTCAGAACTAAATTTAAATAATGCTTAAAACGAGCGAATTAGAACTGACTGTATTCTTTTATTCTGCATCCAAAAATTGACAGATATATGTGTCTATTTTTGTATATATACAAGGCGTTTCATTAAAAAAAATCATTTAGCTACATTTCCGGCTCAACCCGAATTGTAAAAAAATTAAAATTATATTGTAAATTCTTTCATTAGATATAACCACATATACACAAAAAATCCAAAAAGCACTTTGGAAATAACGAATTTAATTCACCATAACTTTTTGGGCACTCTGTATATCTCTGTTTTATTAATATTGCCTGAGCTTCTAAAAATTTAATAATTCAAAAGTTACTAACACTACATTTCCTACTACATTACTGAGAAATTTGACCATGGTGATGTTTTTTAAAGCTATATTAATTGAGAAGAGCTGTTATTTTTGACTTATGAACCGTTAACATACCAGTAGAACAAAAAAAAAACAGGATCAAAGACAACCATGGATTTTGAAGACTTGTCTTTGACAGAATTTTCGTCTTGTCAGATTAAAATGCAACGATCAAAGACAAACTTGATTGTGTTTTTTATTACTCTCTGAGTCTAACTTACATATAAAAACGATTTTTTTCCATTCTGAAAATATCAACTATTAGTCAATAAATTCTAATATCTTTTTATAAAATATGTGATTTTTCGAAAACTATTCATTGTAAATCTTCAAATTGAATTTATTTGGTTCCTAGTTTTAAAGCCGTATGACTAAAACTGGAAAATTACATAAAGATATTTAATACATACTGTTATTAATAAATAGCAATTTTTAACTATAAATCATTCACAATAACTTTCAGAAATGATACCCAACTAAATAAAACCGAAATTTTCACTGCACTATCGAGAAAAGTGCAGCAGAAAATTACCGTGGCAAAATTAACCACATTGACGTCACACATATTTACTAAAATTGCAGTTTCGCTCTTAAATTTTTTACCTATTCGGACTTTCCAGTTAATTTCCTGAAAGCATTAATGCACACTGCAACGTGTAAGACAAATTAAACTTTTTTTAACTTTCTTTGTTTAAATATCGACATTCAACGCAAACGTAATGACATTTTAATAAGTGTAATACCCGTAAAATATGAGAAAGTCTGAAGACTGGCACCATGGCACCAACAGTCATAAAATTTTCTGCGAATTGGTGCCACGCATTGTGCACTAATGGTCTACGCCACCCCTAGCCCATGAATGACAGTATAATCTTAAGACGTTACGGATAGTTTCCAGACAGGGGTGCTCTTCAGAAGAGATCGGTCCAGACGCTCAACATCTAGTCGTAGTGTAGCGGTAAAGTGGTGTGTGTGCTATGGCCGTGTTAAAAATACTTGTCGTATTTTTACTTATTGGGAAGGAAGCGAAACGTAAGTACCTGTCTGATACGTTATCTGCTGTCAGAAAAATATTTCTAGCTTGTTACCATACATCATTTTTAAAAGTCGTCGTTTTAAAATGATAAGTGCTAGGTTTAATTGATTTGATAAATTTCATCCACGTGTACAAAATGTGGAAAAATCAGTTTTAGAATGAATTTATAAAGTCTTTGTAGCACATAAATCAGATCTGAATATTAAAAGCGTTGCTTTTTTTAATCTTTTTTTTTTTTGGACAGTACTTTTTTTAAAATTAACTCTAATTTAAACTGTTTGAGTGATGTAAATACGTATATTTTTAAAATAATTTTACAACAGACTGATAAAATAATCATTGAAAGTAAATTCTTTTGTTTTAAACGACTTTCTCTTTTAAGCCAATTTTACACTTAAAAACCAGTCTCACATATGGCTGCAAAGACTATAATTAAAAATTAAGCTGCCACAAATAAAGTCATTACAAAAGCAATTACAAGTTAATTTGTCCCTAGGCTCTCATTTAAGTGTTTTTGCGTTTACAAAAAACAAAAAACTCTTATTTTAAATACTTCAATGGAACAACATTTCAATAAAATCTGAAACCGACCACGATTTCTGAATGACATTTGTAATTTATTTAATTTAACTTTACAGTGATAAGGTCCCAAGTGTCGGAAGAATACGATTACTACCCGGACGAAAGCTCCGAGAAGGCAGAACCGACTCCAACGAAAACGGCCCCTGATAACGAATTAACACATGTGCGCACTAAAAATTTAAGTGGTAATGTCAAATTAACTACTTTACAAGTACTTACTACAAACACACCACTTGATAAATTAAACAATGAGTTCGAGAATGAAGAGGAGCATATTTTGGCCGGGGCCACCAGTGTGCCGGGAACATGGAGTGAAAATAAACAGGCCGAAGTTCAAACAGTCCCAGAAAATCAACAGAATGTTGCTTTATTGTCCGAACTTACGACAAAAGCTCCGACAGATGGTATGGAATCGTTCGGTTTGATGGATGTTTTTAACAGCACATCTGGCACTTTGCCCGATCAGGACGGTACAGAAAAACTAATCACTGCCACGCCGTTAAATTTCGAACTAATTCACGAGGAGGCAGACTCCACCACGTCGATTAGTTTCCCTGAAAAATTTGTCACAGGAAATTCGGGTTTAGATGATGAATTCGAAAAGGTATTTGGCGCCATTTCCACACAAACAGCTGATTCGGAGGATTTCGCCCAAAAAGGGACAGCGGAAGTTAGTTTTATTGGTGGTAGTATTTCAGCAACGCCGACAGATAACCCTGGGAAAAGTACGGTGGACGGCTTTATGAATGAAAAAGATATGGCAACAGATTTTATTACAACGCAACGCTACTTTGAAGAATCGAGTGAAAACAGGATCGAAGAAATGGAAACGTCATCCACGTTTCAACAACCAATGACGGTTATGACAAGCACGTATCAGTACCGATCTGAAAGAGTTGATTCACCGAGTGGAGACGCTTTTACTACCTCCATCAGCGACCCTTCAATCGTTACAGAGAACAATGCTCACGAAACAAAAATAAACACTCAGCTTGGAAATAAATATTTGGTTACCGATAACGAATTGGCAACGACGGAAGAAATTCGGGCTAAATTAAATTATTTGAATTTGATTGTTAACACTGAGAAGGATTTAGATCAAAGCCGTGAAGATATCGAAAATCTGTCTTCGTTTATAGATGTTGATGAAGAATTATTGAAAGGTGTGATCGATGAGAGTGAAGAAAAGACAAATTTGGATGAAAATATTGAGGATGTGTCAATGATTCTTAATAATTATGACGAGAAAAATGACAAGGAAATGACTGACAATTTTCAGTTTACTGTAACTAGTAGGGACGTCTTGGCTACAGAGCAGACCAATGAATTAAATTACAGAACAACATTAACAACTGAACAGATGCCTATGATTGCAGAAAGTACTGTAAAAACCACTGAAAAGTTGAACGAATTTCAATTTCAAAATTCAGCATCTACTTTAGACTTCCAAGAGCAAAACAGTGAAGTCAATTATAGAATCACGTTAACAACTGAAGAAATGCCTGTAGTTACAGAAAATGTTAACTCTGAAAGCACCCCAGGAATAACCGAAAAATTAAACAAACTCGAATTTCAAAATTCAGCGTCTACTTTAAACTTTCATGAGACGACAGAGTACAATCACCTGGAACAAGATACAAAACAAACCCAAACTGAAGATTTCGGAAAATTTACCCCTTCTTTTACAGAAGCAACAACATATAGAATGTTTGAGTATACTTCAATTCCTTTGACAACTGAAGAGTCCACAGAAACTAAAACGAATAATCTACACATAGATGAGTTTAGAACTGTTGCAAATAACGTTGTTGACACAAAACCAGCTGTGTTCAACGAAATGGTGACAGGTAGCACTTTTTCAACGCCTGAAACTACATTAAGGAATTCAGCACCTACTTTAAACTTTCATGAGACGACAGAATACAATCACCTGGAACAAGATACAAAACAAACCCAAACTGAAGATTTCGGAAAATTTACCCCTTTTTTTAAAGAAGAAACAACACATAGAATGATGGAGTATACTTCAATTCCTTTAACAACTGAAGAGTCCACAGAAACTAAAACAAATAATCTACACATGGATGAGTTTACAACTGCTGCAAATAACGTTGTTAACACAAAACAAGCTGTGTTCAATGAAATGGTGACAGGCAGCATTTTTTCAACTCCTGAAACTACATTAAGAAATTCAGCACCTACTTTAAACTTTCATGAGACGACAGAATACAATCACCTGGAACAAGATACAAAACAAACCCAAACTGAAGATTTCGGAAAGTTTACCCCGTCTTTTAAAGAACAAACAATGCATAGAATGTTTGAGTATACTTCAATTCCTTTAACAACTGTAGAGTCCACAGAAACTAAAACGAATAATCTACACATAGATGAGTTTACAACTGTTGCAAATAACGTTGTTAACACAAAACCAGTTGTGTTCAATGAAATGGTGACAGATAACATTTTTTCGACGCCTGAAACTACATTAAGAATTGCCACCAGTTCATGGTTACCCAATTTTAACACGTTAAATGAAGAAGAAATGACAGACAACAGTCAGAAAATGACTACGGACAACATTTTTAAAATAACTTCCACTGAAACAACAAGAAATAATGAAGTAACAAGGACTGCCAATAATATTGTTAACACAACGCCAGTGGGAGATTTTTTGCAGCGTAATGACAACATTTTTTCGACGCCTGAAACTACATTGGGAATATTTACTAGTTCATGGTTACCCAATTTTAACACAATAAATGAAGCAGAAATGACAGATAACAGTCAGAAAACAACTTCGGACAACGTTCTTAAAATGACTTCCACTGAAACAACTGGAAATAATGAAGTAACAAATGAGTTTACAACAATTGAAAATAACATTGTTAACACTAAACCAACGGACGATTCTTTGCAAAGTACTACATTCGATAAAATGGTGACAGACAGTATTTTTTCGACGCCTGAAACTACACTAAAAATCGCTGCTTCTTCGTGGTCACCCAGTTTTACTAACACAATAAATGAAGAAGAAATGGCAGTTACCAGTGATAAAGTAACTACGGATAACATGTTTAAAACAACATCCACTGAAACAACAACAAATAATGAAGTTTTCGCTGAAACTGTCGCTGGGACATCCGAAGATAGTTCATCCGCATTTTCAGTTAGCAGAACAACCGAAGAATTTCAAGAAACTCATGACACTACATCCACAACTCAGTCGCAAGATATTTCTAAATACTCAAACGTGGTAACAGAGTTTATTTTAACTTCAAATTTTGTGTTAGTTCAAGATAAAACAAAACCATCTTATGAAGTATCGTCCACCGAAAATAATTTGAAAGTGGATGGCATAGTACGAATTGGTAAAGAATTTTCAATTTCAACTCAAGAAAGTTTGACAAAAAAGGACGATTTATTTACAGCTGAAACAGAACAAACTTCTGTTAGCAGTGCTGGACGGACAACACCGGTGTTTACTACAAATACAATATTGGATTCAGGAATAACAGAAGTTACTTTTTCTGAAAACTCTTTTCATGATGAGGAAAAATTTACTACAAAAACTGATTTCACGGTTAGTGACAAGGTAACCACAGAACTTGAAATCTTCACACAAACATCAGAAATGCCTTTAAGATTTGAAACAGAAGTAATGAAAATGTCTACTAACACAATTCCAGACAGTGAAAATAACGACATCACAGTGACAGAAATATATACTCCAACAGAACACGAAGAAGTTAGTACTACAGATAATAAAGACTACGATTTATTCACAACCACTAAAACTTATGAAAGTTCGACTGTCAACGAAGTGAAAACTACAACTTTTTCGTATGAACAGAAGTTGCAGGATGATTTAGTAAAATTGATAACAACAGGATTTTCAAGTTTTCTCGAAAGTTTCATGCAGAGTACTGCAAATGAAACTGAAACAGCAACATTGTCAAACAGTCAAGAAATTTCGAAAAATATCGATATGACCACAACAGAAAATACAGAAATAATAAACGAATCTACTGAGTTTGAAGAAGCTAGTAAAGAAAATATAATTGATGAAAATTTTGACAAAATCGACGAATACTTAACGTCAAGCTGGAAACTAGAGGAAGAAAATTTTGAAACTGCAACCAAAGAGAATTCAGTTACACTTTCCGACACGGCAGACGAAATGGACGAAAACTCGAAAGCTGAAACGTCTACAATATTTTTAAAGCAAACATTCGCGAACACCGCCGAAGAATATTTTAAAGCCACAACAACCACAGTTACCCAAAGTATTAAAATGTCAACTATAGTAGACAGTTTAATTAACTCCGTCGACAAAAAACAAGATTTTAATCCAACACAAAGTCCGTCAGAAAAAATGGAAATGAAGGAGACGGAACCCCAAGTTACGGCAAAGATGGATGGCAAGACTTTATACTTCAGCATCAAAATTACTGATAACGTAAGTGACAGTAATTTAATTTAAAAAATCGCTAACTTGGTTATTTCAGGAAACAAGTTTCTTTGTTCCTTCGGACGCTTTTCTCAACGTTCTTTCTCCAAACACAGTAAACATCACTTGGAAATCGGCCACAACCAACATGAATAATTCGCTACAACTGACTGTAGGAAATTCTGTGCAACTCAACGTTGTTAAGGGTAAGTTTTCAAAATGCAGCTGTTATCTATATTTAACGTCTCCTTATTTTTAGATACTCGAATGCACATATATAAAAGTGCGCTTTTTCCCGAGCCTGAAAATAAATTGGATGTTGACACAAACCTAATTACAATGGATGACGGAATTCAAATTTATTTTTCGAACACTGAGTTTTTGAAGAAAGATCAAGAGAATCAAGACGCATTTACTGCAGGTGAGAGTGATTCATTTTGATTATGAGTTTCAGTGTAATTTTCAACTTGACATTTTTAGATGCAATGCCGTCGGCTCCGACACGGACTGAACTGCTTGCTGCAGAAATTATAGGAGGATGCATTGGAGTTTTCATAGTTGCTACTATTTTAATTTACTGCGTCATACAAAAGTATAAAGCGAAAACGCGTAATTTTAAACCAAACGAGAGTGTATAGGGTTTCAAACAAAGTATATCTTCTTTTAGACTGATTATCGACAAATAAAACCAAAGAAATGCTTTGTTTATGTAATTATCGATGTTAGGTAGAAGCAGTAATTTTTTTATGGAAGTGCATTTGATTTCAAAGCGATTGTTGTAGGGAATTGTACATAGTAACTTCAGATATTTCTAGCGAGTGTTGACTGATAATTAATTTTAGGCAAATACTGTATACGTTAAGTTTTATTATAAATTGTATTACAATTTTTGAATAATAAAGTTAAATGTTGCTTATGCAACCATTTATACACCGCGCAGTTGAATCGACCGTGACTCGTGTATTTAAAAGTAATGAATGATTGATTTTTGCCGCCTTGTCGAAAACAAGAATTATAATCAACTGTCAAAACGACGTTACCCGATATTGGTGCTAATTAATGACTTCTAGCAAGGACCATTGTAAAGAAAACCGGCAAAACTGAGGCAGCCTTCAACACTACACTCAAATACACAGCAATTGTACTTACTGTTCCATCTGCCATCAATAATTCAATGAGCATATCCTAATCACATCAAATGTACTTACTGTTCCATCTGCCATCAATAATTCAATAAGCGTATCATAAGTGTTGAAGCAACCCACCCCATTTAAAATGCAGCTGAAATATGATGGTGTTGCAACGTATCGCTTTAATTTAATAATAGTAGTGGAAGCTCGTGCCTTACAGTTTTTTGGTGGTGGGTAATTGACACCTGCCCCAAATGATGATGCAGATGTAATTTATATCATAATACTCGAACACATTTTGAACCATCTGCTTGCTTAATGGATTTTTTCTATGTCTGAAAAATCTCTGGTATAAAATTCTACGTAATTAGTGCAAATGTTGCAATGATGAGTTGATGATAAGCTTTTGTGCTCGATGACAATAATACAAAGGGTTATAAAAATACCCCCGGCACATGAGTGGGCGGTGATGTCACTGAGTCATGTGGTTTGTTGTCAACAGTGTCATCAGCACAATAAGGTTGAGGAAGGTCTGATAAAAATTATCTGCACGTGATCGTTTACTCTATAAGCATTTGTCATTCGTATGAGGATACTCTTCATTAAAATAATTCAGTTTCTTATTTTGTCTAATATAATAATAAACTAGGCGTTAACAAAATCGAATAAAGACATTCTTTTGGAATTAGTTTTTATCAGTTTTTAGGAAAATGAGTACCAAAATTTGTAAATTATCTTTACGTTTCCGCCTAAATTTTCTTTATCAGTCACATATGTGACTGATAAAGAAAACCCAATTTAGTAGATATATATCTACTAAATTGGTTTTAACCGTTGTAAACGGGAAAAATTTATTTCTGTTTCCCTTTTATTAGTTTTATAGGACCGGACATATTAACAAAAATTACTGAATTGTAACGATTAAAAATATTGGGGCGCACCCACAGCTCATCTGAGCTCAATACATGGGAAAGTATCTCGAACTCACCCTCGTTCGTTGGGTTCATTTCCTCTTTAACACATTTCAGTACCTGTTGTGAACAAAAATATGTTAAATTGATTAGATATCATAAATAATGTAGATTTTATGCCATAAATTTATAGTCGTGGGAAACAAAGGGGAGGATTAAATTGGTTTAATTCACCCTCTTTGGTAACAAGTAACTCGTAGTGAGCTTAGTGGTTTGTCTAGAAATTTGTTTCGTTAAATTTCCTGTTATACGCACTAAAATAATGGGTACTTTAAGTTGTACAATATCATGAAGCTTCTTCAGTTGTCTTATTTTTTTTATTCACATTGTATTTTTAGTTTTAATATTTAATCCAATTTGTACAAATTTCTGTTTTATTGAACAGAATAATAATTAGAATCTTTGGGTTCCAAAAGTGTAATTTCTAGACGAACAGTTTTTTTAGAATGTAGCTTAACCTTGAACCAATAAATATGACAATGAAACCCTAAATCATGTCCAGGGTGAGTCAACAGTATGGAATTCTACGGCACATCCCAAACCGCTCCACTCGACTAATGCGTTTGGCAACTGAAGCTTCAAATACTAAAAATAATTTTGTATATACAGGAGTTCCCATTATGTCGTAACAACATTTACATTTTGAGATGTGAACAAGGTGTTGACATATGATTTAGAATTTTTACTAAAAAATACATAAATAACGTCACCAAAATAGCGTTCAAATTTTAAAATGTAACGATAATCATATGTGTCCATTATTTAAAACGACTTCACACTTCACTTCATATATATATTTTTTTCTGTTTGAAAAAGAATTTCTGCATAAGGATATTTGAAGTGATTGTCAGATGTTCCAGACACAGTTGTTCTATTGTTCTAACCATCTGTCGAAAAACTTTTATCAGATCTAAATTTTAAAATCGAGAACAAAATATGTTTTAAAAAAAGTTTTCTGGTATATTTATGCAAAAACATTTCTTTGTTGCGTTTACTGTGAGATTATAACAATAACATTAGTAACCAAAGTATACGATATGTTGTCTAAACATTTTTTAAAACATTATTAAAGAATTAGGAAATAAAAGAAAACATTTTAAAATTTTTTTGTTGATTACATTAAATTTGTAAACACAAGGGAAATATCAAATTTTTGAAACAACGAAAACGTAAAGATCAAATCACTGCGGTGTAATCTTGGTTGCCTAGCGTATCATCTGCCGATTTCTGTACTTCAGAGCTTTTCTGTGCTTTCAGTAAAACTTTTTCTTTTCGCAGTTTTGCAGAAGCCTGTCATTACTGCGCTCACTGCAATTACCAGCAGTAATGTCACCTCGACTACCACGACAATAGCCACTAAAAGCTTCAGTGACTACGCAGGTAGATGAACTCTTCATGTTGACATCGCACATATCCTCTACGATAATCTGCCGTAATTACACGGGTCTGCTGTGCTTGGGTTTAGTAATGGGAATGTTTGATTCTTCCAGTGGTGTACGTTATGGTGGATGATTGCAACCGTCATCGTCAGGGAAGTGTGACGACACTCGCCCGTACTTTACCGGAATATAACATCCTGTCTATGCACATAATACACGCTCCACTTTGACAACAGTATCATTATCGTCATCAGGGGCCACTATGGGATAAACTAATTGCCACCACTCAGCTTCAAAAAGTAGTCGTTAATAGTGTTGTTCTAAAAATAAAAAATATATATTTTAGCGAAACTTATACGAGTGCAGTACATCCTGTCATCCTGAGGACTAACGTCCCTGGAAACTTTTAACGGTTTTAGATTGTTTTTCTCATGCTCCGATACCTTAATTAAATCACAGAAACGCAACCTGTAATTTAGAACTTTATCGTACACAATAGAGTGTCCCTATTTCCATGAGGAGATTTTTTGTAGCAGTGACGGTTACAACTCCCACGCGATCTTTACCCTTCGACAGACTCTCACATATCATTATCTCTTTTATTACGTGTTGCTTTAATAGAATGTGTTTGTGTTCTCTTATTAACATATACCTATGTTTTGGCTTATTATTATGATCTGTTTTCAGTAGTTCGGTAGAGTTTTTGAAAAAAACGGTTCAAGGGCTTTTATGCTGTTATTTTATTTCCAACATTAACAAACGCACAAATTTATAAAAGTCAGCTGCAAATTGGCCATCTCGTTTGTGAAAGAACCTTAATTCATGATTGCCAATGCTGAATTATACAAATTATACCTTACTGGTCCCAGTTGCAGAAAACTAAACGAGAGATAGGTATACATCAAAATGAACACCTCCGCTTCATTTGGTTTCTCAATGCGAAAAGTAAAGAAAAAATTGATGTACAGATAAAACTATTAATTGTATGTTATAGCTCTACAATTGAAAGTAAATATTCACAAACAATTTCATTACTAATTTAACAGCGACTGCCTATTTACTAACCATCATTTGACCTAAACGTTTTCGGCGCAGTTTTTTCACGCCAGGTTGCACACAATTTTCTTGAAGTCGCGCTTGCCCGACCGAAGCAAGCAGGTGCAATGTGGGACGATAATCACTGTTGGTTGGAAGATCCTGATTTGGTTTAGATTGTCTACAAAAATCTAACAACCAGCTGCTTCAGACGATGTTAAATTTAATAAATCGCTAATTAATTTGCCTATCACCGAATCTAAGCAACCGCTGGTTTAATTGGTGTGCTAATTACGAGATATGCACTTATTAGTCATTAGAAATATGTTATTAAAATCTCATAAACGTGAAAGCCGGAAGCGTGGTTTTATGGCAAAGTTGCATGGTTCTTTCGAATTTATAATTGTTTTTTTTGCTGCACTTGTTATTTTTTAATGTAGTGCTTAAGGTTTATTGTTATTCGATTCAGCACTAAGATGTATGCAGGTAGAAACAATACACGCAGTGACATTTTAAAATTCTTTTGGAAGTAAGAGTTCCATTGTTAACTTTAACCGTTGATATGAAACTTAAACACACACTTCCGACAAAGTAATTGTTCATAAAATATGTGGTGTTGACGTACTACAAAGCACATAGCTGCCGCAATCACTGTTTAATTACATGTCACATTTTCCGACGCTATTCCGACGCTTTTGTTCTCCGATACATCCGCTGTAATGTTTTTGAAAAAGTACATGCGTTGTAAATCTCTATAACACTAATGAATAATCATGTGGTCTATTCTCAAAATTCCATAAACAACTTGGAGACTCAGACTTTGTAACATACAGTGAAGTAGGTAACAGATGTCAACTAAAAAGTTTTTTAAAAATTTATTTTCCAAAAAAAAATGTCAATTGTTGGATATCTTCATGATAAGATGCTTAACGATGTTGTAGGAAAATAACGAATTTTGGTACTTCTGAAAACGATTGGGGAAATGTTCAACCAATAACTTAAGCACCTAATGTTTTTGTAATGTAAAGTTAATGAATATGTTTGTCTTGTACCATTATACTGTTAGAACCCTTGCAAAGTGAAAAATAAGTATAGAAAAATAACAACCTACTCACGTGCAACCTCTGAGTTGGATAAAAACTACACACTGACAAAACTGACGATGAAAATCAGTAATAAAAATATTTAGACAGAACTTCCCCCGTTCCTGAAACATAATAAAACAATTTTATTTAACAACAAATACCATTTTTATACCAAACACGCTTTTTTTGTAGTTTCTAACTTAAACTGTAAAATGTTGTAGTAAAATTTTGAATTCTCTTTCAAAAATCTATGTCTTAGGTAAAACATAAGTAAGGATTGAAAAACTGCAACCATATTATTTTTAAAATATAAGTAGGATTTACGGAGCGAAATTTTTCAATGACGTCATTCAATTTTTGGATACAGAAAAGTAACTTTTAATTATAATCGTTGCTAGGTAGATTCAGAACAAAGTCTGAAGAAGTCTGCTTGAAATCGAGTTTAATATAGTTTAGGAAATGTTGTATCCTATAAAATTTTATTGGCAATAACGAGGCGAACAGTAGTACAATGGTAAGAAATATTTATGGCTCACACCCGTCCACCCGAATTTGTCGGAGAGCATTTAGCAGGTAATTGTACGCACAGAGTCTGACTTCCGCTGTTTTAGAAATTTTAAGATCTACGGATTACCGCCACGCGACAACTTTAAGTAGTAAATATCTTTTACTATTGTACTACTGTCCGCCTCGTTATTGTCAATAAAATTTTATATGGTACAACGATATTTCCTAAACTATACAAAACAAAGTAAATCATGAAAGAAAAGGTTAAATCATCCCCACCAACAACTTGATGACGTGAGATCAAAATTGTTCTTAGCAAATGTTATTGAAATTTTATATTAACGTACGTCACACGTGTGATTTATGAATCCGTCTTGATTTTTTACTCTAGACATTCAGATTTTTGGAAAAAATCAAAAAGCATGGAAAATTGTTATCCAAAATTTATCCGTTTATCACCTCCTAAAAAATTAATGACGTCGTATCAAAACTTTGTCAAATAAGTCCTATTCTAAAATTTGAAAAAAAAACGTTATAATTTTTCCAAAAGCTGGATATATTGTACTGTACTTCAGGAACTTTAAATCAATTTTTGGAAGCTAGTATCACAAATGTCAACAACGGAGTATCTTAAAAGATAACAAGTATACTAAATTCACTATTTTTGAGTCCTAATAATATTTTATGATCACTTGAGCTCTATTATTTAGGATTGTTCGAACAGTAGAGCTCAAGTGATAAAAAAAAATTTATTAGGACCCAAAAATAGTGACTAGTTATACTTACATATTCCAAAATAAACTTATCAGTATCAACACGGAAAGCAAAAAAAATATATACCTATGTTTATGAATGTCAAAAAAATTAATCTTACTACTTACAAGCTCGCTTGAACAATTTGTAAAATACAAAAATTGAGCGCTTTATTTTGGATGTTAGAGATCTATTTATCAAAAATTGCTGACAACAACTAAGCTTAGCCTGTTTATTTCGTCAGAAAAATTGATGACGTCATTTCAAACGACCGTCCAACAAAACTCATTTGAAATATAGTATAGTTTTGGAAATTTCATTCTACCCTATAAAATTGTATTGACAATAACGAGACAGACAGTAGTACAATGGTAAGAAATATTTATGGCTCACACCAGTTCACCAGAATTTGTCGGAGAACATTTAGCAGGTAGTTGTACTTATAAAACAATGGTCATCTTCGTTCCTGAGTAACGATGGTCCCTGTCCGGACCTGGATTATTCTGCTTTCTAACGTCTGGGGATTACCGGCAAGCGACAACTTAAGTTGTAAATATCTTTGCTATTGTACTACTGTCCATCTCGTTATTGCCAATAAAATTTTATAGCGTAGAATGAAATTTCCAAAACTACACCTGACACGGACCATTAAATTTTACAACTCTAGAGATTATATAGAAATTTGTATAGGTTTCGGTTAGATACTCACTTAAAGTAGATCTATTATTTTTACTCCCCAGAACCGGATCTCGTCTTAAAACCTTGTTGAAATAAACACCCTGGAAGGCCTTAGTAATATGCATTTAGTAGAATGCGAAAATACACCTTTCTCGGTTCTGTTGTTTGTTGCACAGACAGCCAAAATGTGAAATATTTTAAAGATTTTATGTATGGGTCATTTTATTTAATGGTTTTTTCAGAAAAGGTTCATCTAATTTTCTTAAAATTCTGACAAGAGAATAAAATCGTTACTGAAGTCATGGTACTTGTACACATTAATATAGTAATCCCCCCACCCCAAAAAGTTAATGACGTCATTAAATAACTCTGCATTGAGACAACTTGAGATTTATGAGGTACGGATTCTTCATTAGAGACTAAGAAATTTGCATTTTTCTCGGTGTTTCATGATACCTAGAGTAGATACGAAAAAGTAGATCTTTCATTTCCGTCCGTCTGTCTGTCGTCTGTTATTTGTCTGTGTCGATTTTTATTAGACAATCTTTGAAACTACTGCATCGATTGTTGCCGAATTTTATACGTATGTTCAGAATATCGTATATATTGTAAAACGCCAACCAAATTTTGTCTAATCGTCCTCATCAACACTTTGATGACGTAACCTCAAATTTTCCATGATAAATACCATTTAAATATTATAAAATAACATACTCCTGTACTTTACAATCTGCTAAAAACATATTATTTCCTAAAATAAACTGTTACAATTTTTCGAAGAAGTGAGATTTATTGGACAGTTCTTCCGAAGCGAAAGAAATTCTGTCTAAATAACCTTAGGTTAATTTTTATTTTACTTACAGAGATGCCTTAAAATCAATGTGTGAAATGATTGATTTTATGAATATCTCAGAAACGTATTTGGTAGTCGTATGCTCTTAAAAAATAATTACACAGGATGTCTCAAGTAGTTTATAGCCGCGGAAACGGCTCATTTAACCTTTCTGAAATTCTAGAGAAACACAGCAACATTGTAAACAGCTGTATATCAACATTATTGCATTTATTCGAAACCTTGATGAAGTCATTTTAAAATCCAGAAATACGAAACAAGTCAACAAGATGGGTAACTTTCAATAATTTTTTTTTTTCGTAAATAAATATGTAATATGCCATAATAGGCCATAATGTATACAACTTATTATTATTTCATAGACCTATGAAAAATATGAATAATGCACATTTTACATTAAAAAGCTTAAAAAAATTAAAATATGTAGTGCAAAATTCCTGTAGATTTTTTAATAAATTTTACAAAGGGCTTTTTGAAGCTCTGGGTGTCCCAAATCCTCGAACTACAAGTTAGTACGTGTCTTGCATGTCCTGCTTTACATAAAAAACGTTAACATTTAACACGTACGTTCTAAAATATTTATTTCTGTCGGCATGATGTGTTCTTCGACAAGATTATTCCTGTATTGACATGTTGCAATTTGCTTTGAATCATTGTTGTTTAACTGTTAATTTGACCAATATATTCTGGTGCGTGTAGTGTATGCGCGGCAGAAACCGCATAATAAAACGTACACACGTCGTATTCATATAAAATGTTTTCATTTATCTTCGTGTGCAGACACTCATTCACAATTAAATACAATTCTAATGTACGTTATCTATGAATTTTGAGTCATAAATAACTTACATAACTAATCTACAGATAGAGTAGGGAGATCAATCTCACATCCAAAAAATCTTATATACTTTATATTATATAACAAGTCCTCCTATTCCCATGAATATTTCCCCGCCACAAAATAGAACCCATCGCCTCATTGGCTAAATTCCATCAGCATGGAATAGTGGGGACCCTGAAAGAACTTGAATGCACGCTGCACGCTAAAGTTGCGCATTCATTCTTCGACACCGTGTGAAACGTAGTGCTTTTGTTCCCATACATCGTGCGGAAACATCGTCAAGCCATGGAAATCATCCACGTGTCAAAAAACCAAGAACTAAGGATACTCAAACCCCGAAGATCCCTCGAAAACAACAACAACCTCCAACAAGTAAACTCCGTCAAAAAATGCCTTTTCGGCGTTCCCGACGCCCAAGACATCGAAGCCTTCCTCAAAGAGCAAATCAAAGAAGACTGGGAAAGAATCCAAAATCGCTTCGGCATCAACATCGAGGACGTCGAAAACATGGAAAACGAAAGACTGCAAGCCCTCACGCCCAAAAAACGCAAAACCGAATCGAGTAAAAGCAAAAGGACCAACAACTCAAAAAGACGGCGACTGTTCCAGCAACCCTACAGCACCGACAGGAAAATCACAGGTGAGTCACTAAACGATTCTAATTAGAATTTCCGTTTTGGTAGTGGCTTCCGTGTTGGTCTTAACTGCTCCATGTTTGGATGTACGACGGTTAAAAAACAATGGTGGTTATTTTTTCGAAACGATGTGAATCGGGCGTTTTTCAAAGAGTGTTATTTGATATTTATCTCGTCCTACTTTACCACATAGTTACGGTCTGCTGAAAATCGTGTGATTTTGCCATCTGCTCCGAATCTGGAACGCCCTCGACCCTTGAAGAAGTGAAGAGGGTGCTTGAACAATCCTTTGACCGACCGCTGTTCGTTTTTAGGTGGAGTGTGATATTGCTAAAACACTGACGTGCGGCTTTTGTTTGATGCTAAATGTCGCCCACTAAATAAAAATCGGGAATACGTAATCAGCGCTTTTGCCGGTGGCACGTATTTTTTTTTAGATTTCTGGTTGGTATGGTTTGAAAATTCTTTGAAGTGCTCGAAACGGATTTAAATTATTGTGATATATGGTATCTTATTTTCTTAGTTTACGATTCCATAAATTTGACTAGGAATGTTTCACAAAAATTTTTACATTTTTACAAGATATTTTTAAATTATAACAAATTATGGGCAAAAGATAAGACATCGAGTTGGAATTTTGTTATTTGTATGACTATTGACGTTCTTAAATACTGACAAATTAGGTTAAATTAGTTTGGGCTTTCCTCTAAAACTCATTAAACATGTTTTTCAGCAAATTCATTTCTGAAAATTTTCATTTTTTTTTGCTGCAAAAACCAAGAAATAGCAGCGAAAAATTAAACTATCCGTGGGAACAATTTTTAATTTATAGATAGATATATAGAGGTGCTGAATTCCAAAAATTTATATTTCGTTCAGAATATAAATATTTTAATACTGTAGAGACTTCAAAGGTTTTGTTTCAAAAGTTGAACTCTAGGGAGTACCACTATTTTAATTTTTCTTTTTTTTTAACTGTTGAAGTATTGTTACTGAAGTAAAAACAAAATTCTGGTGAGGACACTGATGAGGGTCAGTCGTGGTTCAGCGAAGCGTATTTTAGTGTCTTACCTGATACATCGAGTTTCAACCTATTATTATCATTAATTACCAATGTATGTAAAAACGGTAGTCTTCCATTGTACTCTTCGTCGAATGAGAATTTGATTCTCTCAGACTGATTATTATTTGAACTACATATTCAGATTCTAGAATCCCTTTTGTCGAAATTAGTGACCATATCGTCCACTTTAATTATCTTCATACCTATAGGTTCTGCTATAGTTTTCGTTTTGTGTATGTATTTTTGAAAAATACAAAATTTTAAGAACTTTTAAAATTATGACATATGCTAGGGAATTATTTTTCTGGTCCATCTTTGTTTTTTTTTTTTGTACAAAAACCAAGGGAACTGGTTTAGTTACAGTCTGAATATTGTCATGGTGAATCTGTAGAAAAAATACATCAATTAAGTAATGAAAAGCTTTCTAAATACGAAAAATGCCATATAAAAGGGTAATGATACAAGTCATTTTTATCTAAAATTTAACATTGAAGTTGTTTATGCAAATAGCAGTCGAAGCAGCTTTTGAAAATTTTGTATTCAGAATATCAGTCTAGAAGTGTATTACGTGTTGCCTATACGGTTAGGGTATTGTGATTATGGTAGTAATACTTTTATCAGATATTTTTTAATTGACTGCGTTTTTTACATGTACTATGGGCAACATATATGAAATTAATTTCATTAAAAAAACCTCATAAAATTAGCCAAAAACATTTGACTCCAACGATTTATTTCGAAGACAATGTCTTCGGTAATTGATTTTAAATGAACTTTTACAAAACTGCGTTTGCTGTTGTTATTATTTTTTATTGTGCATATTTTTAAAGAACTAAAAAGCTAAGTGCATTCTAAAAATAATATAATTATAGAATAAAATTGCTAAATATTGAAATTATAAAACAAAAACCAGGTTAAGAATGAAATTAGGCAAATTTATTCAGGTGTATTTAAACTACAATAGATTCCTTCACCACTGGAACAAATTGAAGTTTGTAAATTGACGTTGCCAAAATCATAAGTTAATTTCTTCACCTCATGGTGGTCTTCTTCATAACAAGACTAAATTTATTACACATATAGTAATCAACTGCAGATTCTGCTGGTAGGTGAATGTGCTAAACAACAACAAATAGAGAAGAGCAATTTTATGGGTACTTGTGTAGTATTACTGCTGTGATTTGAATGAAAATGCTATCTGAGTGCATGTAATAAAAGAATGCGCTTCGCCTCGACGAATTTTTGATGTGATTAACAATCCTGCCATTGAAGTATTGCGTCAGCACAGTGGCTCAATGTCGGATTTTCGCCATCACTTTTTAAGACTACCGACTCCATAAATTAAAAGTGCCATTTTTTTTCCGTCCCCGTTTTCGGTTTGTATCTTTATTTCTTTTCATTTTAATCGTAAATAAATTAATAAAGAAACGAGCTTCTCTCGATGGACTGAGTCAAATCTTTTTTCTTGTACATATTTAATTTCTTGTTTTATATTTATTAGTTACTATTAAATAAAAGATAATAATGCGTGTCAAGTTATTACTTAGCTCTAAATAGACAAGTGTCATTAATAATTCCGCACAAAGTGATTATTTAATAGTAATCTGGCCTGCGAAACGTTAAAAAATTTGTTTGATTGATGACTGAGAAGGTCGCAGAGGAAGTGTAGTTTTTGTCAAATGTTTAATATTATTATAACGTAAACTGACAAATATAGTGTGTACAAAAGTACTAGCTAATTATGCATTTATTTCGCCACATCTAAATTGATGACGACCAAAAATTTTCATTAGCTCACTCTTGATTAAAAAATTTACAGATGATTTAAAAGTGCTTTTTTAAAAAAAAGTTATCCATCTTTTTTCAAAAATTATAAGTTTTTGTTGGATTTTTTCTATAAAATGTGAATACTCTCACTGTTTGTTGAAATATTTCAATCTTTGATAATTATAATAAGTCTTGGTAAAGACGATTTTCCAAAAAGTGATTATTTTTCCATCAAGAATGGAAGTTGGTAAATCCTTCCTATTCAGAATGGGGGAGTCGTCCATATTGATCCATTGTGGAGATACAGGGATATAATTCTTCCGTCGATTACCGTCATTTTCTTACAATAACAGTATGAGTTATTGTGACAAGCAGACACTCTAATCGTTTCGTCTCCCTCCAGTCTAGCCGCTTTCACTGTTCACAAATAATACCACAATTTAAAATCCATTAGATACCTCTTAAATTGTTGTCCTCTGTGTAGTAGATTCAATTACTGCGGATGACGAGTCTAACGAGATTTTTATGAAAACAAATTTTGATATAACGAATTTTTAACGTCCATTACCTCATCATCCAGCCCAGCAACAATAGTTTGATTCATTTTCTTGCATAATTTCGACTCGTATTATTCAAACGGATCCAATTAGCGTCTAGAACTAGTTTGTACGGATTGTTCCTTGCCGAAATTAAAAATTATATGCTTTGAGGACCTCGTATTCTAAAATTGCAAACTAATTCATCCTCCATCTCCCACATGTTCAGCTGACTGTGAAGATCATTTACGTAATTGCGCTTAATTAATTTAACTCGGACCAATAGAAAGATTCAAAAGTGCCACTGCATCTACATTAGCGACAAAGGCCGGGTTATTTATGACGCACCTTTCTCGGCCCCAGCACCCAGAATGCAGCCATTAATTCTGGTGCACCTTTGCGTACCCGATGGTGATTCATTCATCGAACTACCTGATCCTTCGCGCCAAAATTTTGGCGGGAAGTGCGAGTGTGAGGTCGATCAGGTGCGGGCTTAACCTGTGAAATGGGGAAAAGTAAGGTGCTAAGAATAAACGGGTGACGTACGTTCTTGATATGTGGCCTCGAGGCAATTTTTCTTTAATCTAACGTCTATTTCGGCGACCTTGTGCTATTCGACGAAATTCGGATGTTTATGTTTACGAATGTGGAATAATTACTTATCCAGAAGTGCACAATTAGCTCAGTGTTGAGAAAATTGACACGATTAGCCAATTACGGCGTTTAATTGACGTAATCGCAATTTAAAAATATCACGTGCGTCTGGATGTGCCTTATATAGGTTTTGCTGCATCCAATTAGGGAACATCTGTTTAAATCATATGTTCGAAGGAGAGCATCTGCGAATATTCGGCTAAAAATATGCCAAAGGTAGGTACCTCTCAACCATATGGCTCTTGTGTCAAGCGGTGTTTGGGGGCGGCTGATGGCGGCTGTACCAGGTGGATGCAGAATTGCTATTTTGTTAACTCTTTGAAGTTTTTGTTGTAATTATTTCGATAAAAGCGTGAAGGTTCGGCAAAAAATTCTTCTTGTTCGGGTGTTACACCGTAAAATTCACGGCTGCTGCACTTTGACGGTGTTCTGCTTTGACGAGGTGTAGTAACGCAATTTTCTTTTGTTCCAGATTTCTATCAGGTCAGGAAGGCCACGCATCCTGAGAAGAAAGACACGAATCAATAACCTGTAGGTGCATTAGGATAGTTGTGATTATTGAAGACTTATTTTATTATGTATATATTACATAATTGTGATTTTCTTATTGTTATTTACCATGCAGCATTTAATCCAAAGCTCCTTAGGTAGATATAGAGGTATTGCCGTTTTAGTCTAGTCCATCAACAATTGGGTCATCACATTGTAAATTTTCTTATCTTATTATCATAAAAATTTTGTATATAGAAATAAAATTATTTATTATGATAAGTTTGGTTTATGTTTGATTTTCCTACATAGTTATTAGATTGAGGAATTTGTGGCTGGGTGCACATCGATCAGACCACCACATTTCTAAACCCGTCATCAAAGTGGTATTTAAGGAACTCATCGTGAGTGTCGATAAAGTGGAAGTATGCACTTCATAAAATAGGGGCACGGCAGTTGCAATGAAAACAAATCAGCTACTGGATCTTAAAATATTTGATACACAGATCGTTTAATAAATTGTTTAAGTAGATCTATAATAGCAGATAAAAAGTCTGTTTACTACTACTTTTACGTGTACAACGGTTCTTTTTTTTTTCAGAGCAGAACTAATCGACCGAAACTTTGGAGCACGTTTGATAAAATTTAAAGAGTATGATGAAATGATAAATCCATATTTATTATAAATTAATATTGAAATGAAAGTAGAAACTGGCCTTATTAAATGGAAGTGAAGTTAACAGTAAATAGAGAAAATTTAACGTCTTTATTTAAAAATCTAAATAAATTTAGTTATTTTGACAGCCATGTAATTTATAGTCACATGTTGTCTCACCAACAAATATCAAGTTTGACATCAAATAAAACAAAAACTGTTCTCGTTCTTCCCACCTTGTGGGTGCTTTGAACAGCTGAGCAGGTTTAAGATAAACGTTTACATTACAGCCACCTCCAATTAGGGATTTAGGGTTTCGTAACTCAGCAGAAATAATATAAAGTACCCCATTTGACATACACCTGTTAAAACTTTTATGACTTAAGCGGCTTAAGCCAAACCACCCTTATAAGTCAAACTGGCTATTCCATTACTTAACTCAGTTCACAGCTACATTACGCCAATAATGGACAGTAATAATCTTGCGGTTCGGGTCCACAAAGCTTACAATAGCCAGTTTGACTTATAAGGGTGCTTTGGCTTAAGCCGCTTAAGTCATAAAAGTTTTAACAGGTGTATGTCAAATGAAGTTACTGTACTGAAGTCAGAAACACCAACCACAAAACAGTGCTTTAAGAGACTCTATTAAACCATTGTTTTCAGCTGAAAACGGTGCTTTAATGTGACCTTGAAAATAGTTATTCTACAAATATTAATAATTAATTTCTAGGGATGAACCGACTAGTGGCCGACCGGTCGGATAAGCCGACTATTCGGCCGTTTTTCATCGTCGGCTGCAGTCGGCGACTAGTCGGCTAAACAGCCGATCGGTCGGCTTTTTTTATTAAAATTAAAATAGTATATAAAACAATTAAACCCGGTTTACAGAACCTCAATTAAATATTTAATTGCGATTTAATTTTTAACACTGCGTTAAAGTATCATGTGACCGACTCTACGCCAATCAGACGTCGCTAATGGCCTTGTTAAATGCGCGATCAACTTAAACTCAGCTAAAATATCGTATAAACTGGCCCTAAATTGTGTTATTCTTTATTTTTGTACTGAGTTACTAAAAAAAATTAAATGTTAAAATTATCCAAAAAAATTTAACACATTTTTTGGAAAACAAAGGAACTTTAATTATTCCTTTTATTAAAATAGAACAAACCTTTAAGGTAGCCAGAGAAACAGAAAAAAAACACACTGTTTGTCGCATTTATAAACCGGTTTTAGCAAAGCCGAACAGTCGGCCGACTAGTCGGTTTTTACTGGCCGAACAATCGGCTAGTCGGTTAGTCGGCCAGACCTACAGTCGGTACATCTCTATTAATTTCATATACGATAGAAACAACGTAAAACATAAGTAAAGTGGATACAGTCTTGTCAAACACACATTTTGAGGAATTCAACAGATTTGACATTTTATTATTCAAAAGTTTCCTCTTTAATTAAAAACTGCAGCTGAGTGTGCAAAATTTGACTGTTTGTTGATATCAAATCACTTTTTTTTTCGAATAAATGAAAAAATACGCCTGTGATACCTGAATTCATTATATTGCAATTTAAGAAGTTAAAACTGAAACTAACCAAAGCAAGAATTTCAAAAATTTACATACGGACCTGAAAGTTTATAAAGATTTCCCAAAATTTCTAATGTTTTAGAGATATTTGATTATTTACGTTTTTTGGCCTACCTTGCATACTAACATCAATTAAACAAACACTATTCACCAAAATTGTATTTAGGTATATTATTTATTTATATATGTATACATATAAGTAACCAAAGTTTTCTTTAAAGGGAATTTTTATATATCGTTAAACTATAGATGAAGAAACATATTATTTTATAGATTTCAAAGGAAAAATTTTGATACTGGTGCTAATAATGCTGCTAACTTGTATTTTTAGGATAATCTTTATACAGGATGAGTAATTAACCGTGCGTTCTTCGATATCTTATTAATTGTTAAGAATGGAAAAAAAATCTTACACTAAAATTGTACAGTTCTTTGAGGATCATATGTATATACTAAAATTGTTTTCAACTTACAATATGTTCTGTTTTTGAAGCGTTACACAACTTAGTAACTAAGCGATGGAAGTATTGTAATCGAGTCCGTGCACCGACTCTACAGTTTTACGTTTCCTCGACCTTGCATGACCCCTACAGTACGAAGAAATAGGCCTCCCGTTTCCGCCTGTCTGTCTGTCTGTCTGTTTGTCTGTCTGTCCGTCTGCCTGCCCGCCGCTCCGTCTCTCTGCCGTCCCGGATTTTTATTAGGCAGATAATCTTCGAAAGTACTGGGCGATTGTTGCCAACTTTGGATTAATATTAGGAATGGTAAAACACCAACCAAACTTTGTCTAATCTTCCCCACCAATAATGTGATGACGTCTGTTCAAATTTGTACATAGTAACTGGGTCTGAAATTGTATAAAATAACATAGTCTTATACATGTAGTTTATGACGCTGTGTTGAGTTTTTACACGAAACATCCAGATTTTTGGAGAAAAAATCAAAATTATAAAACAACATTTTTTCAATTTAATTTTGATTCTGCTAAACCGAATACTTTGAAATCTTGCAGATGTTTTAAAGTTATAAGCATGATTTGCTTATTCCCTCCAAAAAATTGATGATATAGCGGAATAAATCCTGTCTTAAATGTGCAAAATATGATGAATCTATACTTGTAATTTATCACTACATTAATATTTTTTAGATTTGCTTATACAGGATGTCTCGAAAAAATTTGTGACTGAGTCAATTTATTTCATGGATTAAATCAAGAATTGCAAAACTGAATATTTGAATTTTGAAATCTTTCAGACGTTTTGAAGTTATTGTGAGCATGGTAAGTTTTTAAGTAAAATGTATCTGTTTATCAAATTAAATTAAATTGATCACGTCATCTCAAAATTTTGCCGAATAAAATCTACCCAAAATGTACAAAATATGATATGAGTTTTTACTTGTGATTTATCATTGTATTCCTATTTTTTAGATTTGCTTAAAAAATTAATGAATGAGTCAGTTTATCTTCTTGATTAAATCAGGAACAGCTCACTCCATTTTTCCAGAAAATGTTGGGAATACAATACTTCAGTAATGTACCAGTTTATAAAAAAGGCAATGGAGTTATTTTTAAAATCTGGATCAGAATATTCTGTTGAGAAATCAATAAAGATACGTGATTTATTGTGGTAGGAATATAATGTTTTAATATACAGAGTGTTTCTAAAAAAATATAACAATTTTTAAATACGTGTCGTTATACACATTTTTCAATTGGGTGTTCTATATATTCTATTTTGTTTTTTGATTTATTCTTTTGTAAAGTATTTTTTATACTTAAAGTTGTTAGTTACTGAGATTTATTACTTTTCAAGGGTTACATTGACATACTGCATGAAAAAGAGCAAAGAATAGAGTAAATTTAATTTTATTTAACTGATACCAATAAAAGCACGTACTTCTATTTATATCTGTATAATTTTTTTTGTGAATTCTTGCATTGCTAAAAATTGGTCGAAAGTTCCCGCACCCTCGAAGTGTAGTGCCACAAATCCCACTTCTTTGAAAAATTAAAAATTTTGATTTTGCGAATTTGTATTCAATAAAACAAATACAAGAGTTGCTATTTTATAAAATTTTTGAGATGTCATGACATTGATAGCGAGATTGGGCAAATTTTGGTTAGCGTTTTACCATCTACACGTGTGAACGGATGGTACACAGACTGAGCCACGAGACTTAATTTTTCATAGTCTAATAAACTTTTAAACCGAAAAGGTCGACTGTGAGTTGACGTTGACGTTGAGGGCGCCGTAAACACTTTGCAATTTAACGTTTACAGGATATTTTAAGGTTACCATAGCAACGGAAAGCAAAATGCACGTGTGCAGAAAGTTCGACCTCACGCATCCTGCTCCAAAATCATCAAAAAAGGTCATGAGTGCAAAAAATATATTTACAGTACATTATCAACTGGAATAAATCCATCTGAGCAATATGCGTAGTATTAAAAATATTAATGTTTATACATCGGAAGAATGTCACGTAGACATTTGTATCATTTAAATGAGTTTATCGTCTCAAAACAGATGACTAAAATTATACGTAAGTCTCAATTGAACAAAATATTCTGAATGTTATTATTATAATTCTTAATTTAATATAATTAATTTGATCAATAATAATATGACTGATTCATTAATTGTTTTCAAAAACCCCGTATAAGCAAATCTAAAAAATATGAATCCAGTTATAAATCACAAGTATAGACTCATCATACTTTGCAGATTTAAGATTTTTTCAGCAAAATTTTGAGCTGACGTCATTAATTTTTTAGAGGGGATAAGCATATATATCTTGATTAACATTTATCATGCATATCATAACTTTAAAACATCTGCAAGATTTCAAAGCATTGGGTTTTGCACATTCAAAATTAAAATGCAAAATGTTGTTTTGAGTAAAAACTAACACGGCTTCATAAACTACATGTGTAGGACTATGTTATTTTATACAATTTAAAACCCATTTACTATGTACCTACAATTTTGAAGTGTCGTCATCACGTTACTGGGGGGGATGATTAGACACATTTTGGTTAGCGT